GAGGTAATGTGATACCTCTAGATTTGTTCTTTTTATTTAATATTGCTTTGGCTATATGGGCGCTTTCTGGTGACAAATTAAGCTTAGGATTATTTTTTCTAGATCTGTGAAGTAAGACATTGGTATTTTGATGGGAATTACATTGAATCTGTAAATCACTTTGAGCAGAATGGATGTTTTAACGATGTTGATTCCACCAATGTATAAGTATGGGATGGTTTTCCATTTGTTTGTGTCCTCTATGATTTCTTTCATCAGTGTTTTATAATTCTCTTTGTAGAGATATTTTACCTTCCTGGTTAAATATATTCTTAAGTATTTTATTTACTTTGTAGCTATTGCAATGGTATTGAGTCCTTGCTTTGACTCTCAGCTTGACAGTTATTAGTATGTAGAAATGCTACTGATTTGTGTACATTGATTTTGTAACTTGAGAATTTGCTGAATTTATTTATCAGTTTTAGGAGCTTTTGGTAGAGTATTTAGGGTTTTCTGGGTACAGGATAATATTGTTGGCAAACAGGGATAGTTTGATCTTCTCTTTTCTGATTAGGATACCCATTCTTTATTTCTCTTGCCTGATTGCTCTGGTTAGGACTCCCAGTACTGTGTTGAATTGAAGTGGTGATAGTGGGTACTCTTGTCTTGTCCCTCTGGAAACAAGACAAGAGTCTTGTTCTTAGAGGGAATACTTTCAACTTCTCTCCATTCAATATGATGTTGGCTATGGGTTTGTTGTATCTGGCTTCTATAATTTTGACGTGCATTTCTTCTATGTGTAGTTTGTTGAGGTTTTCAGCATGAAATGTTGCTTCATTTTATCAAATACTTTTTCTGCATCTTTTGAAATGATCATATGGTCTTTGTTTTTGCTCTTGTTTATGTGGTGAATCACGTTTATTGACTTGCATATATCGAACCATCTTTGTATCCCTAGGATGAAACCCACTTGATCATGGTGGATTATCTTTTTGATATGCTGCTGCATTCTGTTAGCTAGAATTTTGTATCTATGTTCATAAGGGATTCTGGTCTGTAGTTTTATTTATTTATTTTTTGTTGTGTCCTTTTTTGGCTTTCATGTCAAGGTTATATGGGCTTTATAGAATGAGCGAGGATACCTCCTTCTCAATGTTATGGAATAATTTCTGTAAGACAGGTGGCAGTTCTTCTTTGTAGGTCTGGTAGACTTTGGCTCTGAATCCATCTGGTCTGGGGATTTTTTTTAATTGGGAGCTTCTTTTTATTACTGTCTCAGTCTCGCTGCTAGTTATTGGTATGTTCAGAATTTCTATTTCTTCCTGATTCAGGCTTGGGAGGTTATGTGTTTCCTGGATTTTATCCACTTTCTCTAGGTTTTCTAATTTTTGTAGTATTCATGGGTGATATTTTGTGTTTCTGTGATATCAATTAGAATGTCTCCTTTTTAATTTCTGATTTAGGTTATTTGAGTTTTTTCTCTTCTATTTCTGGTTAATCTGGCTAGTGGTCTGTCAATTTTGTTTATCTTTTCAAAGAACCAACTTTTTCTCTCATTGGTCCGTAGTATTGCTTTATGTTTTCCATTTCATTTAGTTCTGCTCTGAGCTTTTTAATTTATTTTCTTCTGCTGGATTTCGGTTTGGTTTGTTCTTTTTTTTCTAGTTCTTTGAGATGTGATAATTGATAATTTGTGTTGATAATTTATGTCTTTTTGATGTAAGACTTTAAGGCTATGAATTTTTCCATTAGCGGTGTCTTTGCTGTATCCCATAGATTTTGAATGCTGTGTCCCCTGTGCCGTTCAGTTTGAAGCATCTTTTGATTTCCACATTAATTTCATCATTGAACCAAGGATTATTCACCAACAGGTTTTTCAATTTCTATGACTTTGTGTGGATTTGACACTTTCTCTTGGAATTGATTTCTAGTTTTCTTCCACTGTGGTTCTGAGAAGATACATGGTATGATATCTATTTTTTGAATTTGCTGAGACTTGCTTTGTGGCTTAGGATATGATCAATCTTGGAAAATATCCCATGTGCTGATGAGAAGAATGTGTAGTCTGTAATTTTCATGTAGAGTATTCTGTAAATGTCCGTTTATTATAGAGTTCCATTTAAGTCCAGTGTTTCTTTGTTGATTTTCTTCTTCGATGATCTGTTCAGGTTTTTTTCAGTGGGGTGTTGAAGTCCCCAGTGAGTATAATGCTACTATTTATTTCTTTGCTTAGATATAGTAGAATTTGCTTTATGAATCTGGGAGCTCCTGTGTTAGGTACATATATATTTTGGATTGTTATGTCTTCTTGCTGAATTGCCCCTTTTATCATTATGCAATGATCATCTTTGTCTTTTTTTTTTTTTTTACCATTGTTGATTTAAAGTCAATTTTATCTGATATGACAATGGCTATACCAGGTCACTTTTGGTTTTCATTTACTTCAAATATTTTTTCATCCCTTTACCTTGAGTCTATGCATGTCCTTATGAGTTAGATGGGTTTCTTGGAGACAGCATGTAGTTAGGCAATGATTTTTCATTTATTCAGCCAGCTATGTCTTTTGATTGGAGTATTAAGACCATTCACATTCAGTGTTAGTATTGATATGTGGGGTATTGTTTTGTTTGTTGTGTTCAGTGATACCTTGTTTTGTTTTCCTTCTTGTGCTATTGTTTTATAAGAGCTGTGAGGTTTGATTTTCAGGGATTTTACACTGGCAGGCATCTATTGTGTTGTTCCATGTATAGTGCACTATTGAGCATTTCCTGTATGGCAGGTCTAGTAGTGACAAATTCCCTTAGTGTTTGCTTGTCTGGAAACATCATTATTTTTCCATAATTTAAGAAACTTAGTTTTGCAGGATACACAATTCTTGGATGGCTGTTGTTTTGTTTAAGGAGATTAAAAACGGGGCCCCAATTCCTTATGGCTTGTAAGATCTTTCCTGAGAAGTCTGCTGTTAGCATGATGGGCTTTCTTTTGTAGGTTAGTTGTTGCTTTAGTTTTGCATCTTGTAGAATTTTCTCCTTCATTTTGACTTTGGCCAGATTGATCACTACATGTCTTGGAGATGTCCTGTTTGCTATGACTCTTCGTGGTGTTTGATGACCATCTAGTATCTGTATCTCTGAATCTCTGATGTTACCAGGGAAGTGTTCCTCAAGAATTTCCTTGAATAGGTTTTCCATGATTTTTGCCTTTTCTTCTTCTCCCTTAGGGATATCTTTGATTTGTATATTGGCTTGCCCTTACACAGTCCCATATTTCCCTGAGCGATTGTTCATTCTTCTTTATTCTTTTTTCTGCCATCTTTGTCTAACTGGGTTAGTTCAAAAGCCTTGCCTTCAAGCCCTGAAATTCTTTCTTCTGCTTATCTAGCCTGTTGTTGAAGGTTTGTACTATATTTTGAAGTTCCCTAAGTGACTCTTTCATTTAAATTCTGTTATATCCTTTTTCTGTTGTCTGTCTCTTTAGTGACTTATTCATTTTTTTATTCATGTCCTGAAATATTTTTTTAGCTTCTTTTTGTTGCCTTTTAACTTTCTATTCATTCCCATTCATCTTATTATATATTTGCTATCCATATTCTGAATTCCATTTCTGACATTTCAACTATTTCCTTATGCTTGTGGTGCATTGCTGTAGATCTATTGTAATCTTTTGGGGGTGTCAAACTAGCTTGTTTTTTCACGTTGTCAGAGTTCTTTTGCTGTTTCTTTTCCTCTGAAACCCTTTCTCTCAGTTCAGGGCAGACAGGTTTGCAGTGAACCTGTTCTCCTTTTGCTGAGACTATCCTTCTGATCTTGGTGAGTGTATCTCCGTCCTTCACTCTGAGTGTCTCCTGTTGCTTCTCTGATGATTTACAATGTTTTCTCCAAGAGAGTCCATCCACAGCTGGGCATCCACTTGCAACTTTCGATCCTCTCCTTCAGAGTGGCATGTGCAGGCTGCTTCTAGTCGACCATCTTGGCCTAACCTCCCTTGTATCATCTTCCAAATGAGTTTTAGCTTACTTTGAAATAATGTTATAGTATTTGTTTGTGGGCATGTCTTTATGGCTTGCTCTACATTTTCTGTGAAAATTATTCTTTTTTCTTGTAATAATTGTATGTGAACTTTTACCTTGATTCTTTTGTTCATTTTTATATCAAATTAGTTTTTTTTTTTTTACTTTACACCATAGAAATCTCTCTTTGTTGTTCCTGTGAAGTGTTCAAAAATATGATGCTGCCTGAGTTCTGTCTTACTTTTATTTGTATTGGTTCTTTCTTTTGTCTTTATTGTTCCTGTTCTGCTTAGTTTGGATTTTATTTCTACCAATTTATTCTTCTAGGAAGTTTTGGTTAGTTAATTTTGAAAGTTCATAGTGCCCAAACTGCTGTAGCCCCTTCAGATCTTACCATGATCCCATTTAAATTCTTTCACTATTAGAATATGCAAAACTCCTTCCAGTTTTAGGTACTATTCTCAAATTAGCCTGTTGAAATTTACATGAAATACCTGTTAGTCATTTTGGGTTTTCTAGGTTTATCAGATATCCTGTTGTACCTTTCTGTTTCTTCCTGCATAGATGCTGATACTATGCAGAGTTTTAGTTCTTGGTGATTCGTGACCATCTGCTTCTACTTGTATTTGGGGAAAAAAATAACATGTTACCAATTTTTCATAGATTATTCATGGATTGGGCTTTGCTGGTATTTTAATGGAGGTATCCAGGCAGACTAAAGATCCATGACACCATATTCTTAAAATCCTCTAAACTATTGCACTAGTTTTATTTTTATTTATATGAAGAAGAAGAGGAGGAGAAGGAGGAGGAGTAGAAGAAGAATATAGTTATTTGAGGAATAAGTAGGATATATTTGTTAAATGTATCTGTGAGAAGAATATATTCTTTAAATATGTTGAAGAAGACATATTCAGTAAGAACATTTATAAAGAATATATTTTTATGCTACAAATATTCTTGAACATCAAGTATTAAGAATATTAGTACTTAGCATTTACTGAGTGCTTACCATTTATGTATTCCAGGCATATTTTCTTGTGAATATATTTCTCTTTTGTTTGTCTTAGCCTTTTCCTTTCTCCACCCTTTTAGCTTTTGGCAATCCACAAAAGGCCAGTCAAATAAAAGTGAATAGTTACAATTTCTGCTTTTTGGTCATGAGGGATAAGTGATATTGGACTTGTCATCACACCATAGACAAGGAAAAAACTGGAAAAAATATATAAAACAATTTTTTTAAACATTGGACAAGAGGTGTTATTAAATTATGATCTAAGAAGAGAAACAAAGTAAGCCTTGTATTCACCTTGACTCACTATGTAGAGACACTATTGTTTCATGGCCCAAGGGCAGGGAATACAAAAAAGCACAGCATTTGCTGAGTTAACAAGGTGCAGATCAGAGTTTTGGGAGGCTGAAGTACCTGGAACACACGGAATAGCATGTGGAAGCAACAAAATAAAAGTGCTTCAGAAATCTGCATAGGAGTTTCATTGTATATTTATCTCCGTACTAAGCTGTGCATGTCTAAGATAAAAATCCATGAAGCTGGGTGAAGAGCAGCTACCTGCAACCTTTATTCTGAACAATAATTATCAGAGCTTTACAACCAGTCAGTAGAGAGCTGTCCTTGAACACCTGTGGCATTAGTAGAGAGCCCAGAAGGTTCATGTCTTAGTATTAGGGCTAACCTAGTTCTAGAATAAAAGCTATAGTTGATATTTCTGAACAAAGCATAAAATTAAGCTTTGAAAACATCAAGGTGATCTACAGGTAGCTTAACTGACTGCCACAACAAATTTCAAAGCTTCTTAAAGAAATAAAAAGCAATTTGGTAGGTTAACAATGTCCATCATCTTATGAAAAATTACTAGGCATTCAGATAAGCAGGAAAATATGTCCAAAAACTGGAAAAAACAACCAGATATAACAAATCTGATAAAATTGAGAGAGTATAGTTTTAAAACAGTTATTATAAATTTCCACAAGAATTTAAAAGAAAAATGTAAACATAATGGAAAGAAAAATGGAGATATAAAAAAGAATGAAATAGTACTTCTAAGGATGAAAAATTCAATATATGAAATAAAAATGTATTGAATGGACTTAATAACAGTCAGTGATAGAGCAACAGAAACTATTAAAACAAAAGCACATAGAGAAAAAATGAACAGATTCAATAATCAATGAAACAATATCAAATGGTCTGACAAATGTGTAATTAGAGTCCTAGAAGGAAGGGAGGAGACAGAAAAATTATTTGAAGAAATAATGGCTAAAACATTTTAAATGTGATAGGTGAAGATACAGATCATATAAGAAGTACAAAATGTTGATAATTGTTGGGGCTGGGTGTTGGTACATGAGACTAGTACACTATTCTCTGTACTTGTATATGTTTGTGTTAAGGTGGAAAGCCTAGTAGGTGCTCATGGCATGGGTGGAGAAATGTTTCTGACGCAGAGATTAAGATATATAACAGTAAAAAAGTTTGTTTTTTTCCTTTACAAGGACAGAGGGAATGAGAGAGAGAGAGAGAGAGACAGAGAGAGAGAGAGAGAGAGAGAGAGAGAGAGGGGAAGGCAGGGGGAGGGGGGGGAAGAGAGCAGGGCAAGATGTGGCATCCCCAAGATAGAGAAGGGAGATTTCAGCAGCGAGGCCAAGTGGCTCACTGATTTTAGGTGGATGAAGAGAAGAAAACAAAATAGTGGTGGCTGTCAGCTGATAACAAAAGTGGCAGCACATAGATAACACTGCAAGAATATCAAAGTCCAAGAGTTGGCTTCTTGCCTTTCCTTGGAGAAGGGATTATCGTCCCCCAGACTGTAGTTCGTTCTCCTGCTGTTTACTCAGGAACTCTGTAAAAGATTCTCAAAAAACAATTTTGAAAGAGAGAGATTTACATCCCTTTTCTGTCCATTCAGCTCTTTTAAGAAGTTGCACAAAACAGAACTCTTGCACGGTCCCTGTTAGTGAGAGAACTCATAGGACTGATCTTTAACTTACTGGGGAAATTGTAGGATTAGGTATTTTCCTCTTATTTTTGCAAGGCTGCCCCTTTCAGGTTGAAATTTTTCATTCTAAAAAGTTTAAGAAAAAGAATTTTAAAAATAGATAATGGATCCAAAGGTAAAAGCAAAAACTCTAAAACTTCTAGAATAAAAACCAGAAAATTTTCATGTCTTTGGGGTAGGCTAAGAGATTTTAGATTAGGCAGAAGAAAATATGATAAAAACAAAAATGTTATTCTTTGAAATAGACCATTAAGGAAATGAAAAGGCAAGACAGATTGGAAGAAAATATTCCATGTATATATCAAAGAACTTGCATTCAGAATATATAAAGAGCTCTCTTACAACTCACTAATGAAAAAAACAAATGACCCAATTAAAATTGAGCCTCAAACTTGGATAGTTACTTCATAAAAGAAGATATACAAATGATCAAGAAACACATGAAAAAATGCTCATTATTATTAAATATCAGGTCAATGCAAAATAAAAATAGACTGGCATAACATTATATATCCACTATAACTGTTAAAATTAAAAAATAGTCTGACAAAATCAAGTTTTATTGAGGATGTAGAGCAACTGGACCCCTCATACATTGCTGTTGGAAATGTAAACTTGAATAAACATCTTCGTAAAGTGGTGCTATGATTTGAGCGTCCCTGCCAAAACTCACGTTGAAGCCTTAATTACTGGTGCGGCAATGTAGGGAGGTGGAACCCTTAAGAGGGGAGGCCTAATGGAAGGTGTTTTGGTTATGGGGGCTCCACCCTTGTGGACAGCTTTGTGTCTTTCTCATGGTAGTGTGTTCTCCCACTCTCAAGACTGAATTAGTTCTCATAAGAATGTGTCCTCACCAAAAGCTGAGGGCATGCTGGCACCATGCTTTTGGACTTTTCAGGCTCCAGAATTATTTGCCAAATAAAGCTCTTCTATATTACCCAGCTTTAGGTATTCTGTTATGACAAAAACTGGACTAAGATAGGTGACTGGTTTAGCAGTTTCTTTAAAGTTAAACTTGCCTATGACCCAGCAATTCTACTGTTAAGTATTTATCCAGGAGAAATGAAAATATATGTTCACAAAAAGTTCTGTACACAAATCCTTGTATCTGCTTTATTCATAAAAGGCCAAATCAGAAACAGTCCAAATGCCTATCATCAAGTGATCAGATAAACAAATTTGTGGGTATATTCATACAACAAATTACTACTTATAAATAAAAAGGAATGGTGACTGGGCACAGTGGCCCATGCCTGTAATTCTAGCACTCTGACTGGCCAAGGTAGAAAGATCACTTGAGGCCAGGAGTTCGAGACCACTCTGAGCAAAAGAATGAGAAACTGTCTCTACTAAAAATAGAATAATTAGCCAGGCATGGTGGTGCGTACCTATAGTCCCAGCTATTCAGGAGGCTGAGGCAGGAGGATCACTTGAGCCCAGGAGTTTGAGGTTGCAGTGAGCTAGATTGCACCACTGCACTCTAGTTGGGGCAACAGAGTCAAACTCTGTCCCCCCAAAATAAAAAATAAATAAAAAAGGAATGTATTACTGATTCTCACAATAATATGGATGAATTTCAAAAGGAATGTACTGTGCAAAAGATGCCAGGCACAAAAGAGTAAATACTGTAGAATTTCATTTATATGAAATTTTACATCAGGCAAAACTAATCAATACAGATAAATAGCAAGTCAGTGGTTGCCTGGGCTCTGGGATAGAAAGGTGATTGAATGCAAAAGTACATAAGGGGACTTTTCCTGGTAGTGGACATTGTTTAGGTACAATACATGCATTTTTGTATTGTATTTAATAATTTATTGTAGTTAAATCAATAAATTAGATTTAAAATGGAAAAAATAAAAATGGCCAACAAACAAACAAACAAAAAATGCTGAATGTCCAGCATCACTAGTAACCAAAGAAATGTGATTAAAATATTAACTTGACATTTTCAAAACCAAATTAGGTTGAGAAGTTTTTGAATAATAATATCCATTGTTAGCTGGGTTGTGGGGAAAAAGGCACTCTTATATATTACATATGGAGTATATATTCGTAAACCTGTATGTATAGCTCAGCAGCAAGTAAGGAAAGCTTTAATAAAGAGCAGATTCTTAGATACAAAATTGCACCTTCAGGAATTTATCCTAGGAAAATAATAAGTTATATTTGCAAAAAATGTACATTCTCAGCATTATTAAAGTGAAAAATTGTACATAAAAATTGTTAAACAATGAAGAATTGATAGATTTAATTATGGGTCTCCTGTCAAAAGAATACGCACACCCAGTAAGAATGATGTTTAATTTTATTTATTTATATGAAAGATTTTAATATTTTTTAATTGAAAAAACTTTAAATATTACATACAACATGATCTACTTTTATCATAAAAAACAATACTGTGAAAATTAAATGCATGCATAAAATATATGGAATAATATATACTTGAATGTTAACTGATTATGTGTTGTAGAAATATGAGTAATTTTAATTTTGTGCTTAATGTTTACTTATATTTTCTAATTTTATGAAATAAACACATACTACTTACGAAAAAAAGTTAAACTAAATTTAGCAGATTGACCATTTTACAAATTGAGTACTCAGTGATTTGGCTTTCAGCAGATTGGCCTGTTGGTAAATTAGCTCTCAGCAGACGATTTTTAGGCAACTGCCATGTATCATTTAAAAGGTAAAATCAACATAATTTGGATATTTATGGAGGGGATTGAGAAACTAGGAAAATGGTGCCGTATTTTGAGACAGAGTAACATTGAAGAGGAGAAATTTTAGACGGAAGATAATAAAATAAGTTTTCAATATGCTAAGTTTTAAGTGTCTGTGAGACATGCAAGTGTTGGCAATTTGTTGGTATTTCAGATTAAAAAACCTATGCTGGAATTATAGATTTGACTTTCAACAGGCCAAATCATTCAAGGCATGGGAGTAGAACTCTCTCAGGGAAAGTTAAGTAGGAAGAGAGGAAGAAGGTTGATGATCGGTGGGCTATCAACATTTATGGGCAGGTGAAGGAAAGCCTTGAAGGAGAATGAGACTGGAAAGAAGTAGCCAGAAGTTGGGAGGAAAACCAGGAAGTTCATGTGTCTTGACAGTGAATGGATATGAATAGTTCAAGGAGTCAACAGCATCAAGTAAAATATTAATATTACCAAAAAGTATTTATTGGAGTTAACAACATCTGATTTGATTGATTCAAAATCACCACATAGGGTAAACCGGCTTTAATCACTGCTGTTCTATAGGAGGGGAAGTACTAGATAAAGAGAACTTAATGTCTCTTGTTCAAGGCAATACAAGCTAGAGCCAACTTGTTAGACTTGCCTCCTTCCACAATAACATAGTGCTTCTTGATTTAAACTAGAATAAACCAGAATGAAGTTCCTGAGAGAAGGCTTTGTGAAATTCTGGAATACCTTGCAGAGAAAGTTTGTTGCTTTCTTTCTCAGTAAAGGTCTTTGTAAACTGGAAACAGTCCCTTCAACTCTTGTTCTCGGCTTATCTAAGGCTTTTGCTTTTTAAAAAATTTTCTTGTCCATGGAGATGTTTCTATTATGCTTAGAATCATCTTCCTTTCTCCTTACCTGTCAAGTCACATACCTTGTACTTGAAGACCATTTTAGTTTTTTCTTGCTTAATCCCGCCTTTATTTTGATCTGTCACACAATCTTGGTTTATTTTTTACTTTTGGGACATTTTATATTTTATAGTATTGTACAGGTGGGTTTTTCTTTATGAAATAGCACATATGTTCCTGCAATGTAATGCTTAAAATAAGAATTTTATTGTGAAGGTCTTTGTGGAGCTACTTGTACCAAAGATGAGCCCTGGGATGGTCCATAATCCATTTCTTTCCATTATCTTAGTGGTAAGTTTCTGTGTAATTATATAAATACCTTGACTTTGGAAGTCTCACCCAGAAGGCATATATTATCTGGCATCAATATCAATAAAACACCAATATTAGCACATCAAGGCCTCAAATCAATTTTGTAAAAATCGTTGTATTTCTATTTTTTGAGAGGAGGAGCTAAAGAGGTTCACCAAATGACTATAGGAACCCCTGGTGCATTACTTCAGAAAATAAAGGACCATCCCTGAAGTTATAGATTTGCAATATATGGATTTTTATTGAAGGATATTCATATAAAAGTCAGTGTGTTCAATAAGATTTTAAGGAACACCTATAATGTGTTCATCACTGTATTAGATGCTGGATGTGTTAATGTATACAAAAGTTATAGAATATAGATTTTTCCTGGAAGGTGCTTTTTGTCCAGTTGAGGTTTGTACAATATAGTCTTGAAATAATCAATTAATAGTAGAAATCTCTTTTAGACTAACCACATAAAGAGAGTTATGTAAGCATGAGTGAACAAGAATGCAAGAGAGTGATCTAATTCAAAGTTAATTTTCAGTTCTTCCTTTTGACTGCTCACCCTTGAAATGCTCTCCTTTGTCATTTGTAAAACTTCATTTACATAATTTATTAACTCCGTAATTATTTGCTAAGTTGAATATTTACTAAGGTTCATCTAATCCTCATAAATACCTTTAGGTTCAGTATTATTATCGCTGTTTTTCAGATGGAGGCACTGAGTCTAGACAGTGTTAAGCAACGTTCCCAAATTCACACAGCTAATGAGCAGTAGCGTTAGGGTTTAATTCCAGGGTTGTGTGACTCCAAAGCCTGTTTTTAGATGCTGCACATCCTTTCAAACACTTCTGTTGGTCAACTTCCTTTTACCGTTTTTTGGACATTTTGGGGAAAACTTTCAGTCCTTAAATCTCAATTATTCCCTCTTTAAACATACTTGTTTGGAGCAATTCACTATTCCTCTGCTTTTTGTGATCACCTCTGTGCTTATATTCTCCAATTTGCATCTCTATGTTTTTTCTTCCAAGCTCTGATCTTTTATTGTCAAGTTCTTTCTGATCTTTGCTTTTGAAGGTTCCGCCAGCACTCTATGGTCTTGTCTAAAATTCAGTTCATATCTGGAGGCTTTGTTGGAATTTTTAAAATAAAAAAAAAAAAATAAATAAAATTCAGTTCATTACTCTGCTCACTCTTTGATTCTTCATTTATATCATCTTACTCCTGATTCCTCGGGCTTGAAATCTTAGTCAAATTTGATTTGTGCCTCTTTCCATCATTCTCTTCCATACCATTGAGACATCAAATTATATTAATTATTCCATTACCACATCTCCTATACTGTTCATTTCTTTTCTGTATTTACTACTGTGGAAAGTCTTCTGGCTGGTCTCCCAGCCTGCTGTTCTCTCTGTTTCAGCCTATTCTGACACTACTAGCTATATAAAACACTATTGTTATTAAGAGAGATAATTTTGAATGCTAATATTACTTAAACTACTTCATTTTATGTCTTCTAAGTGCTGTAATCAGCACCACTTATTCATCAGAACAATCCTTTGAGGTAAGGTAATTATCTTCATTTTAAGATTAGGGTCTTGAAGTTCAGAGAGAGTTTAAACAACTTACTAAGGTCACACATCTAGTAAGAGGTATAGCCAGGATTTGTATTGAGGTTAGTCTGAGTTCCAGAGTTCATATTCTGAATACTTAGGGAAGACCATAATCATTCACCAGTATATATCTGAGACAGAAAGAAGGAGCTACTAATAATTTTGCCAAAACCACAAGCATTAACTGGGACTGTTCTAGGCAAATTGACTATCACCTTATTGGTACTACGATGTAGTTCCTTTCCAATGCTTATGCCCACTTAAAAAATGGGGGCAGTTGAGGAGATATCTGTTTTTGTAGAAGACAAGAGGATCTCCGCTTTGAAGTTAGCATTTGAATTGACCACAAGACAGCCTCTTGGAAATATCTAGTAAAGTGACTGTATACCAGTTTATGGGCCGAACAGAAATATGAGAACTAAAAAGTTATACATTTGGGAGCCCTCCTTATAGAGGAAGATGTTGAACAGATGAGTGAACCAAGCCCCTAAAGAAGAAAAAGAAGTGCATAGGGCCCTGGAAAAGGTGAAATATGAGAAGAGAGGAAGAGAGGAAGAACCAATAGTATGGGAGTTGTCTCTATTAGATGAAAAGCTCCTCTAGCTAATGAACCATGTCTTTTTATCCCTAAGTCTAGAATTTTAAAATGCTAAATAATGTACAAATTAAAAATTAATTGAACATTAAATAGAATTCTGTCTCATCTGACTCCTGTTTAATGACCTTAATTTTATTTACTTCCTCAGGAGTGAGGCCATTTCAAATGAAGACCTATCAGCTAGCATCTTTTTTCTCTCCAGCTAGGCTCTATGTATCTTCTTGTTGGAATTAATGCATGTTTTGTGTTTTTCTGGTGTGTAGCAATGAACAGCTCACTTGAGGTCATATGAGTGCTATTTGATGATTTGCCAAAACTCTGAGACACATTTGTAAAGACACTGTATACCTATTTCAGTATCAGATGTACATTTACATTAGATGTAATAATATGTATGATGTATAAACATACATTATATGTTAGATACGTGCTATATATTAATAGCACTAACTAAAACAATGAAGCCATTCATTAAGCAGAGATTCAGGTTTTGGAAAGGGGAAGGTTCTGTACTAAAATGAACATGGTCAAAAATACTTCTTTCTGTATTATTTCCTGCTTGTGCTGGAGCAAGTCGTCAGTGAATTTGACTTTGGAGATGCCATGGTTGAAATGCATTTGAAATAAAGTTTTCATAGCAGTAGTCTCTGAAATGACATCAACTCAGACGAACTTTTCCTGGTGTTGCATCATCCAGACAAGAAACCTCTTAGGCTCCTAATGAAAAGTCAACTTTTAATGAACCCCTGAAGTTTCTCTGCCTTTAGATCCCTAAGAGAGTTTATGATAGTTAATTGTTTTTCTTCACTTGTAACTGAATGTGTAGTGGGATTAAGATCAGGCTTTGGGATTCATTAGAGTTACTACTGTAGGACACTGCAGAATTCTGAGTGTAAAGCTACAGATGAGGTACAGTTATCACGGAGCATTGGCTGAAAATGTCTCCCAGAGGTGGATTAGCAAGTAGACGCTGATGCGTGTGCACACATAAACACACAATGATTGGTGCTGGGATTGTAGTTGAACTTGAGAAGAAGCTGGGTTTCTGCCTTTGTAGTGTGATTCCATAAACTTCTCAAGAGAAACCCTTATCAAAAACAGAGCTTACCTACTTGCTCACTGATGTTTGTTTCTTCAAATAGAGATTTCTTTTCCCCTTGGCTAAAGGTTTCATAATTGGCCTTGTAAAAGGATTTGAAGTGTAGGTGGCTACTTACCAGTTCACTTCCTCCTTATACAAAGGAGTTTATCAGATTCCTCCCTGAGAGCTGATTTGAAAATCAAGGGAATTTAGAGCAGCTGGTGCTGGTTGTGTAAAGAACAGAAAAATGCATGCAGGCAGTGATGTGACCTGTGATTTTGTAAAAAGTTCAAAAAGTTCTTTTGCTTCTCTAACTTGTCACATCCAGTATTCATTTGAGCTAGTGCTTAGGGAGAGCTATAGTCTGAAGTATAGAACAATAATGCATTGTGATACCCAAAGCAACATTCACCTGGTGGTCATTAGAGTAAATGTTTTTACCAGTACAACAATGATCATAGTCTTTCAAGATGTTACTTCAATGTCACCCTATTAAAGAGTCATAACCTACCATTCTATTTAAACATATAACTCAGAACTCCTGCCCTTCCTATTCTCTTTCCTTGCTTTGTTTTTTATTGCTCTTGTTATCATCAAGTATATCACACAAATTATATACTTATTTTATTATCTGTTTTCCTTCTACTGGAATAAGAGCTCAGTGAGGGCAGAGGACTTTGTTTTGGCTAATGTTTTATCTGCTGCCCCTAGAACAGTGTCTGACACATTTTCTCAGTATTTGTTGAATGATTTTAATGGATGTCACTTTGTTATACAATGACTCTTAGAGGTTACCCACTGGCTAACAAATTACCTTTAAGCTTAGCATTCTAGGTTTTTCTTAGTGTATTCCTGGTGTACTTTTCTAGACTAATCCACCTTTTTTTTTTGAGACAGAGTCTCACTCCATTGCCTGAGCCAGAGTGCTGTGGCGTCAGCCTAGCTCACAGCAACCTCAAACTCCTGAACTCAAGCGATTCTTCTGCCTCAGCCTCCCGAGTAGCTGGGACTCTATAGGCATGTGCCACCATGCCCGGCTAATTTTTTCTCTATATATTTTTAGTTGGCCAATTAATTTCTTTCTATTTTTAGTAGAGACGGGGTCTCGCTCTTGCTCAGGCTGGTTTTGAACTCCTGACCTTGAGTGATCCGCTGGCCTCAGCCTCCCAGAGTGCTAGGATTACAGGCGTGAGCCACCGCACCTGGCCCCTAATCCATCTTTTTAAGATTCACCCAGGTTACTGCATGTATCAACAGTCTGTTCTTTTTCATTGCTGAGTGTTATTCCATTGTATGAAGATACCATGGCTTATTTATTCTGTTGATATTTATTTGGGTCATTTCTAGTTTTTGGCTGTTAGAAACAAAATTGCTATGAATGTTTGTGAGACTTTGTGGATATGACATTAATTTTTTGGACTAGAAGTGAAATTACTGGATCACAAGGTGTTTCTTTTATTTTATTAGAGATACTGCCAGTTTTATAAGTAGTTGTACCATTTTAAATTTCTACTATCAATGTAAGAGAGTTTTATTTGCCCCATATTCTTGCCAATATTTGGTACTGTCAGTCTTTTTAATTTTAGCTATTGTGATGGGTATAAAGTGATAGCTCATTATGGTTTTAGTATGCCTTTCTTTAATAAATGGCAACTTTTCATTTGCTTGTTGGCCATTTGGGCATCTTCTGGATTATCTGTTCAAATCTTTGTCCCATAAAACTTTTTTAGCCTTTTAATAATTTATACGTATGTGCTATTTATATGTTATAGATGAGTATTTTGACAGATACATGTATTGTGAATATTTTCTTCCTTCTGTGGTTTGCCTTTATAGTTTCTCAATGGTATATTTTGAAGAACAGGAGTTTTAAATTTTGATCAAATTGAATTTATTTTTTTTTTCCTTTTATGGTTAACATTTTTTTATGTTTAAGAAATCCTTCCTTCCCTAAGGTCTTCCCTAAGGTCTTAAAGATGCTCTTCTGTTTTTTTCTAGATGCTTTATAGGCTTAGGTTTTACATTTAAGTCTCTGATCCATCATGAATTAATTGTGTATGGTATAAGATAGTATAAAATAGGGGTCAAAGACCATTTTTGTTTATATATAGATATCTAGTTGTTTCAGAACCATTCATTGAAGAGATGTTTTTTCCCTCACTGAATTGCTTTAGCATCTTTGTAAAAAAAATTCAATTGATCCTACATGTGTATCTATTTCTGAACATTGTACTCTGTTCTATTAATCTGTTTGCCTGTACTTACTTTGCTACTATCTTGTTTTAATTTCGGAAACTTTATATAATTCTTGGAGTTAAGTAGTATAATTTCTGCAACTTTCTTTTTCTTTTTCAAGGTTATTTGGGTAATCTAGTTCCTTTGCCTTTCCATGTAACTTTTAGAATCATCTTGTCACTTTAAGCCAACATGTCTGCTGATATTTTAACTGATATTAAATTGAATCCATAAATTAATATAACATAGTTTTCCAATCCATGAACATGATATATCTTTCCATTGATATATATTTTCTAAATATTGTTCAGTCATATTTTATTGTTTTCAGTATAGAGGTCATACACAAATTTTGTTAAATACATTCCTAGGTATTTTTTTATTGCTATGTAAATGATATCTTAAAATTTCATTTTGCAATTATTTTTTGTTAGTATGTAGAAACGCAGTTAATTTTTATATATTAGTCTTATATTCATTTCTTTATTATATTTACTTTTTTAAATTTCAGGATATTATGGGGGTACAAACATTTTGGTTACATGTTATGACTTTGCCTTACCCAAGTCAGGATTAGAGGCATGCCCTTCCCCCATACAATGCTCACCATGTCCATTAGTTGTGAGTTTACCCTCCCCCACCTCCCCAAGCCCCAATGAATATTACTTCCATGTGAGCACCATAGTGTTGTTCAGTTAGTGCCAATTTGATGGTGAGTACATGTGGTACCTATTCTTCCATTCTTGTGATACCTCACTTCAGAGGATGGGCTCAACCTCTATCCAGGAAAATATAAGAGGTGCTAGATCACCACTGTTTTTTTTGTAATTGACTAGTATTCCATTGTATACATATGCCATATTT